TAATAATAGCATTCCCTATCATCTGCAGCCTCTGATGTCAGATTTTTCAAATATGATGAGAAATGATGGAGATAATGTAAGATTATTCAAGCTCGTGTGCATTCATGCACTCTAATTGTTAGAGGGATTAAACTCAGCTAAAAGTACAGCAACGTTTTGTTCATTATCCGTAAAGCTAAGAGTTTTAGCTTTTTTTATTTTAACTAACGTTAGATGGATCTAACAGCCATCTTGAACTGGGTCAAAATATTAACTAGCTGTAGATGTACTTCCAACGTCCTGATGCATCTCAACAGTGGTGGGCAGCGCTAATCCAAACATTAGCTCTGCAATTTCTTAAGCGCTTATGATAATATTTAGGTCCGCAACTTCAAAAGCGCTTATGACACAAAGAAGCTAGTGGAAGCTAATTTTAAAGTACAAGTTCAATTTGACACGTTTTTTGAAAAACTGAAGCGATGCATTCTGGGTACATGACGGATTTGATCTGTGACGTAATTCAGGAAACTGTCTTCCCTTCAAAATAAGAGCTTGGATTTTAAAGTTTTCCATGTAGTTGCACCAGTTGACCACTAGATGTCAGTCTCCACCAGCATAACATCTTTAAATCATTTCTGCGTCCCTAACCCCATTGGCAGATTGCTTTGACCAATTACGTCAAGTATTGAGCTCCAGCGTTTAAACTTTGTTTTTAAAAAGGAGCTCCGATTGATAAGTAAAATAAATCAATACATACAAAATTTTAGTATGGATTACAAACGTTAACTGTTTTAGCTGGGACAGGAAGTTCTAAACACTGCCTTCCTGCTACGTAAGCAGACACAAAGCATTGTGGGAAATGAGAACCATGACTGAGAGCAACAGTCAGCAAGGATGTATACCTTTAAGTGTGTTTATCTGGGAGGGGTGCTGTTGGATAGATCACGTGTGTTGTGATCCATTGACAGCTATACCTTCCGCTGTTCAAGATAATGATGACTGGTAGATTATTAGTTATTAGCAGTACTGCATTTTAATTTTAGAAAGCGCAAATCTGCTTATGAATTATAAAAATTAGTAAGACCGCTAAAGTGCAAACGAAATATTTAGGTCCGCAATTAGCGGATTTGTGCTTTAGCGGGCTGGTGCCCACCACTGCATCTCAATAATCCAGATACAAAAATCTAAAAAAAAAAATTGAGTAGGTCCTCTGAATGTTTTGTCTCTTCTGTTGGTGAACAGATGAAAAGTTTCCACAAAGAAGAACCCGTCCAGAGGAACTACTCAAATGATTTATAATTATTTTAAATGTGATGATTAATTCGTGAACATTCAAATCCATCCAGACATCCATGTGCTATTTTGCTAACAAACAGTTAATGACAAAGTTTTAAGCTAAAATGTGCAATATATATAGTGCTTAAAATGTGTTGGGAATGGCTCAACTACCACCACATCAAATTTTAACCAAATATCTATAAAACTGAGTTACAGCAATAATGAAAATGCCATGTGAGTTCTGGGACACGTACCTGCTCAATCAGAGCTGTCCTGGCTTCACCCGCTGCCTGCAGGAGTTCTGGATCATCAGACTGGCTAAGAGCCTTCGATTCAAACACTCGTCCATCATCGTCTGCAGACCTCAGCTTCCATATCAGCTTCTGATTGGTTAACAGGTCAACCACACCTGTGAAGTTCTTACTGCTGCCAACAGGAATCTGCAGCACGACTGGGCTGGCTTTCAATTTCTGTCTTATGCTTTCAATGGAGAAATTCAGGCTGTGGAAAAAATATTATTAACAAAAAAGGTATTCATACATATGAACTTTTCCACATTCTGCCACCTTATAACCACAAACCTTTAAAGCATTTTACTGGGACTTTATACAATAAACCAACATAACTGGGAAGTAGTAGGAAACTAATAAAACCGTTTTAGAAACATGTTTTTAAATGCAAATCTGAAAATTGATTTCCAGATTTAGGTCTGGATTTTGACTGAGCAGGTCTAGCTCTGGCTAGACATTTTAGTGTTGTAGTCCTGATGGAAGATGAACCTCTGCCTCATTCTCAAGGCTCTATCAAGTTTTTTTTCCAGGGTTGTTCTACATTTACTGAGTACTTTTGAAAAGATTTTAAAAGAATGACAACAATTATCATATCAACAATGCCTGTGTTTTAATCTTAAATTGTTCATGGTATTTGATTGTCATTGTCATAACACTGTCTTTCATTATTGTTGGCTGTTTTAATATATACAGTACTTTGTATTTTTTGTTTTTGTGACGTGTGCTGCTGCCTATCTTGGCCAGGTCACCCTTGTGAAAGAGGTCTTGATCTCAATGAGTTTTTATCTGGTTAAATAAAGGTTTAATGAAAAAAAATAGCTCCATCAACTTCAACCAGATTCCCCGTCTCTGCTGAAGAAAAAGCATCCCCAGCTGTGCTGCTTTCCATCTACAGACAGATTGAACAAAGCTCCATGAAACGTTCTGCTTTGAGCTTCTTACTGACTTTGTTGCTGACCTGACTTCTGTGTTCCTTGGTCTTCATGAAGCTGTTTGATCAGCAGTGTTTTGTAACAAACCTCTGAAGTCCTCACAGAGCAGCTGGGTTTATACTGAGACTCAAACACACACGTGGACTTTGTTTGGTAATAATGTGAGTTCTGAAGGCCTCAGCTTGCACTGGGTTTTAGCTCAGGGTATCAGAGTAAAGCAGAGATTCTTAACCTATGGGCCGCGAGCGCCACCTTGAGGGCCTCAAAAGAACAACAGTTTTTAACTTTGGGCCGCAGAGGGCCGTGGGACCGCACTGATTCTGAATAAGATGCAATACACTTTCTCACCACCAGTAGCAGTAGTGCACCACTCAGATGTTTAACAACCTTTTTTAATATGTAGAAGAAGAACCTTAGAAACCTGCCAAAAATGGAAATTTATTTTAAATGAAAAGTAGAAGCAAAAATGAAAGTAACCCATCAAAACACACCAAAGTTTGTCACTAATATGAAGTGCAGCTTCTGTTTTTATCATGCAATATTTTAAAAGTTCAAAACATTATCAAATACATTTACAGATACAGCTATATTTTAATTTGCACTTTATATTAGTTTGTGTAGTTTGTTTTTAAACATTTTGAATGTACTTTAAAGAAATTTTAAACTTTCAAAAAG